ATTCGTGGTGATATTTTTAGCACACACATGAGAATTTGCAGGACAAGTACAATTAACTTTTGTCTCCTCAGAACTCAAAGGAATGCATTTTCTTAGTGAATACAACATAGCTTCTCATTGTAGGTAACTTCTTACTTGCAGATACTGTTTTCTAAATTGAGATAACTAACAATGTACTCCTAAGTTGGGCACCTCCTAAAATCTGTCAAATCTGGATGTATTGCTTTAAAATTTAAAGAAACTGCAGGATCTGCTTGCTGTGGGGAAACCCCCTAATGAGGTTCCTCATGATAATGTTTTTTAGTGAGTTCCAGGATCTTTGTTCATATTTCGATAGTGGTAAGCTTAACCAGCTGGGCAGTATTGGGGGAAAATATGGGTCAGGGTCTTTGGTCTTGACTATTATGAATGAGCCGGGCATTCAATAGAACAGAGAACTCAAGGGAAATGCCCCTCTTGAACACTAGGTAGGTATCACCGGAAGAGAAGCTTTGCTGGTGTCAGAAACAAGTGTTCAGCCTTGAAAGAGTGTTGCAAACTTGCGTGGCCAGGTGGGGGGACTTGGAAGTCAGGCCTCACAAGGTGGAAGGGACTGGGTTCACCTTTCCCAAGGACTCTGCTGCTGCCCACAGTGAGGTGAGAGCCCATGAGGAACTTGGGATAGGATGAGCTGGGAAGAGTATGGGAGGAGGAGTAGGACTTATGCAGGGCAGGGAGAAGTTCTTTGGTGCTGTGAAGCCTATAGCCTCAGGAGTCCAGAGGTGTTGCGGGGTGGAGCTGGGCACCCTGAAAGAACACCTGTTCACCTCAGGACAGATTGAAGCTCCAGTCAGAGCCTGATGAGTGCAGTGCAAGGAGAGCCTGCCACGGCTGTGCACGCACAGGCTCCAGCACCACTAATCGAGCTGAGCTTCCCAGCCAGCAGCAGCCAAGCTAGCCTGGACAGGGTTGCATTTCTTCAGCCCACAGCCGTGACTACATAGGTAAAAAGAGTGACATGAGGTCTCAGGACAAACACCTGCATTTTGAGCCCTGACCCTGGGCTTCTGATAGTTCATAAGCCCTGAAAGAGGGTGCATATGCCTGGTGCTACCAGACATGATAAACCAAGGGTACTCAACCCTTCCCAGACCAGCCTGCAGATGAGTCTGTCTCCCAGAAGGCCTGGCCCACAGGGACTGGGGGGCTGGGCTGGCACTTTACCAGCCCCAGGTCACCCAGAGCCTCCAGCAATTAAAATCTGCCACCAGGCCAGCTTCCCAGAGAAAGTCTGAGAAAAATCCCCCCTGAACTCAATGCTTCCAGCCTAATTAGATTTTGAAGAAATAGGAGGACCTCTGTGGGCCAGAACAAGACTACCTAGGTTCAAGTTCTCTGCCACTTCCCGGCTGGGTAACAAAAGGACAATTTGCTCGACCTCTGTTTAACTGAGCTCCTCTGAAAAACTGGGAAGCTAGGGACTCCTCCCTCCTAGGACTGTGGTGGATTAAATGCTTAGAACCAAGCACACGTCAAAGTGGCCCAAGGCCCTGGGCCTTGCCTCTAGGAGGAGTGAAGGAGTCCCACAGGGACTCAGGCTCAGTCACTAGTGGAAGGCCCAGAGTCCCTTGAACCAACAGGGCAGGAGAGGATCCTCAAACGCCAAGGCAATGATGTTTATGCTGTGAGAGAACCAGGCGACCTGCTGGTTTGCATTAGGCCCCCACCCCTGGGCAGCTGTAGCCTATTAGTGCTTGTCTCGGTGGAGGCAGAACTCGGCGCAACTCCACGCCCAGCAGATCTGTGTTCCCCCACCCTGTGGAGCCCTGGGCCAGCACCTAGTGTGCAGCTTTGAACTTCCCTGCCACACCACCAACCCCATGCTGTCCAAGTTGAGTTGCCCTGTGTTTTCTGGCATTGCCTACTCTGCTGTCCCTCAGCTCAGCTACACACGGCTCCATGCCCCCCAGGGAGGCTGAGCCTTGCCTTGCACCCCCTGTCCCCCACACCCTCCACCCCACATGGCTTGGGCTGTTTTTTCCAAGTTCACTGGGGTTGAATCTGGTTTCCCATTCAAGCCTGGAGAGCACAGTTTGCTCTGTCTCCTCGCTGCCATGAGAAACTTGAGGCTAGATACCTAGGGAAGTTGTGAACAAACTGTGAGTTGTCCTCTAGAGGCAGGGGCATGGCTTCGCTGGCCTGGCCAGGACCCAATCCCAAATGTCTGAAGCAGGCGTCCTCAAAATACGGCCCGAGAGCCACATGCGGGTGTTTCTGCCCATTTGTTTTTTTTACTTCAAAATAAGATATGTGCAGTGTGCATAGGAATTTGTTCATAGTTTTTTTAAAACTATAGTCCGGCCCTCAAATGGTCTGAGGGACAGTGAATTGGCCCCCTGTTTAAAAAGTTTGAGGACCCCTGGAAGGATCACTGAGCTCTGCCCTTGCCCGGTGAGCTGTCTCCACAGAGTCCTGACTCGCCCCTGGGGCATGCAGCTCTGGTCTAGAATCCTCCTCCCCCAAGGAGACGCTCCCACTGCATGTCCCTCACCAAGACCAAGAGACCAATTCTGCCCCTGCAAATCTCCATCCAGCCACTTCCACCGACCAGACCCTCACATCTTGTCTCTGCTGCGCCAAGCCCCCTCCAGTGCTGTGCAGGTACGACAGTCCCCTCCAGGCCTTTGCAGGTGCTGCGTCTCTGCCTGCAGAGCCCTTCCCCTCCCTCTGCTCTGCTTAATGCGAGGACGCTCAAGCCTCAGCTCCCAGCAGCAGCTATTTTCTGCCAGGTCCAGTGCGACCAGGTGCCAAGAGCCTCTCACAAAGCTCAGGCTCTGCCCTGGGGCTCCCGGGCATAGGAGCTGCAGGCCAGAGCACAGAAGCAAGAGGGGAGCAGCTGGGGCCTTCAAGGAGACTGAGCCCCTCGCCACCCCCTCCCTTCTCATCCAACCTCCAGCCCCTCCTCCAGCTTGACTGCTGTAGCCAAGGTCATTCCCATAGGGGCCAGCATCACTACTTCAGCCACTCTGGCCACACCCTCTGTAAGCTTTGCCTTGGAAACGGGCCCAGCCGGGTCCCATGCAGCCTCTCTGCAGGCTCCTTCCAGCCCATGGGGGAGGCCCCTCTCTCCCAGCCTCCCCTTGTAGATGTGCAGGACAAATCAGTCAGTTAAGCTGGGCCTCAGCGTCCCTATCCAACCAATGGGTACACAGTCCTTCCCTTACCACCTCCCAGGCCGGTGCAGGGATCCTCTGTGAGTCAGATGAGGAAGTGGGTTGGGAGGGAGAAAGACAGAAGGCAGCGCTGAGGTGACTAGCTGGTCAGAGGCACGTAAGCTGCTCTGGCATGGCCTCAGCCTGGGGCCTCTGGGAGCTGAGCCAGCTTCCATACACCCATGCAGGTGCAGGATGTCCCCAGCAGCTGCCAAAAGCCTCCCAGATGCCCCAGCTGTGGGGGCATGTGCCAGTCTGTGCCCCTTGCTCCCTGATCCCATCTCTTTTCCACCAGGGTCTCTCTTTCCATCTGGCTATGTGCATTTGTCCCCTTACCCATGGCACTCTGCTCACCCTCTGCCTTCGAGACGTTTTCTCCCTGGCTCTAGGACAGTCTTGTCTCGAAGACTTTCCCGTTCTGGGGGGCCTTGCAATGTTACAGGACAATCAGGCTGTTCTATGGCGTGTACCTAAGACCCTGGGCTCTACTCCATTTCCTCTCCTGGCACCCAGAACCAAGCCACCCTGAGCAAGCCCCAGAGTTCCTGCGCACTCATGAATAAGGTGGCATACCCAGGGGATCCTGATGCAGCTGGGCATGGGCTTGCAGGTCAACACAAGTGCACATGTGTGAGGTGGGCTGAGAGGTATCAGGGTGGGGGCAATGTGGGAGTGACCCAGGTTAGGGCAGCAGTCAGGTCGGGGTAGGGGAGGGGGACGCAAAAAGGCATCTGAATGATGGCAAGGGTCACAGGAGAGGCCTACAGAGGCCTCCTGTGGCCCCGTCACCAAGCGGACCCTGCCAGGCCCAGTGCCCTATGGTCCCCACCCTGCTGCCTGCTTAGCCTGGCAGCGTTCCTTTGCAGCCTCCTGCCAGCACAGCCAGCCCCCTGCCCCCACGGGTGTCCATGCCAGAGCAGCATTCCGCAAGCCTGGCTGCATCTCCCCAGCAGAGGCTGAGCAAGGGGGCCACTCAGCAGCGGTCAGGGCACACGACTAGCAGTGCCTGGGCCATTGGGCCCCAATCCTCTGGTCTGGGCCAGTCACCTTAAAGGATTTGGTCACTACAGCTGTGGTCCAGGGTCTTACATCTCTTGCCTTGGGCGGTGCAACCTGGGGCCACCAGGTAGGTATGAGTGCACGGGAGCCAAGTCCTGGAGGCACAGAGCAAAATAAGCCCTGAACCGCCCTGGGATGGGGATGGGGGCGGGACAGACCAGTTGGGGACCCCAGACTCACCCCCAGGTCAGAGCAGCCCAGGCCAGAGGATGGGGCTGGTGAGCGCGGCTGGGGTGCGGGGTTCTGTCCCTCAACGTGGCATTGCTCAGGGAAGCGGATGGAAGCCTTTTTCTGCAGCGGGTTGGGGGCCCAGCCTGCCCAGCTTCCTGAGTTCGCGGCAGCCTCCTACCCCGGCCCCTCTCCGTGGCGCCGCAGCTGGAGGGCACCGAGGTTTGACTCCGGGAAGAACTTCCCGGCAGAAAGCGGCTCAGCGCAGGAGCCGGGGCTGGGGTCCATCTGCTGGGCTGTGAGCAGGAAGGACTGGCTGGGGGGGCCCGGCAGCCCGCGACAGGGCGGGCTGCACCGAGACGGCGCACACCACGCGTGTCCGCGCCCCCCGCCGGCACGCAGGCCGGCCTGGCCCTTTAAGCGTCCAGACGGCGGCCCCAGCTGACGCGCGGGCTCCAATCGGCGCCCCGCGCCCCCCGCCCGCCGCGCCGGAGGCTCTGGGGCCGCAGCTGCTCGGCGCTGGACTCGCCGCGGCCCTGCGCCTCCGCCCGCCGCCGCGCCCCGGGCCATGGTCGCGGGCCTGCGCGGGGGCGGCCCCCAGCGCGGCGCTTCATGGAGCGGCCCCGGCCCGGCCGCCGGGGGCAGCGCGATCCCGCGGGGCCCTGTGAGCCCCCAGCGCCACGGCACCATGGTACGCAGGGCCCTGCCTGTCCCCCCGCTTATCCGCCCACCTGCCAGCTCTGCCCTCCAAGCGCACGGCCCACGGCTCGGCTGGAGGGGGTGCAGGATCTTCCCCTTCCCCCGTCGGTCTCCCGACCCGACCTGCGGGTTCCCCGCGGGCCCGGACTGCGGTGCTTAGTGCGGCTCTCACTGGGGAGGGGGTTGAATTCCTGGGGTGGGGGTGCCGGCGAGAGGCTGAGGTCTTGCTAGGCACCGGCTGAGGGGGGCGCTCCCTTGCGCCCGGGACGGCGCCGCCCTCGGGCTGGGTGATGGGGGGGAAGGGGGAGTCGAATTCCCGCCTGGGCCTTGGGCCACGTGGGCGCCGGAGCCGCCCTGCCTGGGGATTCGGGATGGCCCGGGCCAAGGGCGGGGGGCGCCTGCCGCTCCCGTACTAACTCCTGTGTGACCTTGGGCCGGTCCCCGCCGCCGTCTCTTGGTCTGTCCCCCAGGGAAGCAGGGTAGCTGCAAGAGCAGAGGAGGCTGGCATGGACACCCCCTCCCCAAAAGGAGGAGCCTAGAGGTCATGAGGTTGTGCACCCTCGCTCAGTCTGGGCCCACCCACTGCTGCCCAGTGAAGAAAGATCGGTGTGGGAGTCACGGGGGCACAGATGGGCTCCCCGGTTTCAGCATGAGGCCTTCCAGGGAGGCTTGGTGGCAGGGAGGCAAGGGACCCCTCAGGTGTAGAAGGCTCTGACTTGGGAGAGCGGCCTCGGCAGGTATCCCTGGCACCTGGCCAGCCGCCAGCCTGCCTTCAGGGCAGGGTTTGAGGGCATGAAACCCCCTGGCAACAAGAATGTCTGACCACCCCCTGGTCCTGCGTCTTAGCTAGGCAAGAGTGGCCTGACTTGGGCATGGGGTGTGTGGCTGCAGCTGGCACAGCCAGATGGGGAGGGTCATCCACATCTTCAGGGAAGTGCACATCTGGCTGGGGAGGCCAGCACAGCTGGTGGGCACTGCATGGGAGGGGCTGGGCAAGGGGGCAGCTGTACCCTGCTATGGGGCTGCCAGCTATAGACGTGGGCACCATTTATGTGCCCTATCAAGGGAGTCCACTCAGGGTACCTGGTCGTGAGGTTCTTGGGCTCCCCAAGGGCCCAAGGCTGGTGCTGGCATGGCTGGGGGTACTGCCTTGGGAACGGCCTCTGAGGCAGCTCTGCCTTCCTCCCCTGCTGAGGCCAGAGGGCCCAAGCCAGGTCTCATGTGGGCCCTGCAGGCCAAACCACACTTGGGAAGGTTGCCCTTCCCCATGGCAGGTGGGCACAGGTGGGCACTGGAGGGTGTTCCATAAAGGGAGAGCAGACAGGTCTGGGACCCTGTGGCCTGGGGTAGATGCCCCGAACAGGCCTGGCTTTGGCAAGCCCTTATCCAGGGCACTTCCCCTGCTACTGTCTGGCCCCGGGAGGCCCTAAGGAACCCCTGTGACAACCCAAGTTGTACCCTAACCCTTCACTGTCCTGTAGTTACACCGGGTCTGGAGAGAAGGCAGCGGGTAGGGGGAGTAATGTCGGGGTCTGCGGAAGCACAGGGGTTCCTGGGTGGGAGGGTTTCCACTTTTTAAGTCACTGAAGGCTAAGAAATCCAGCCATGTGCAAGGGTGTCCAGTCCAGCAACAAAGGAGTGGCCTTCGCAGAGCTGGGAGTCCAGGGGCTCTGGACTGGGGGACCCTCCCATTCTGAGCCTCAGTTTCTCCATCTGTGCAGTAGAAGTTGGTCCCAGATGATGAATCAGAATGAGTCAGAAGAGGGAGGTGGGAGGGGCTTAGTGCCACGTCCAGGTTAGATTGGACAGGCCTGGACAGGCCAGCAGCTTCAGGACAGGGGGCAGATGAGAGGCATCGTGGCTGGGAGAAGGAGTGTGGTGGGAGGACGCAGGGAAGATGGCATCCATGGCCAGGGGCCTGGCTGGAAGGGAATTTGAGTGAGCACAGGGTGTGTGCTGCCCTGGCCATGAGGCGTGGAGGGCAGGGTCCAGGGCAGGTCTAGAAGCAGGTTGCTCCTGGTAGCTCAGAAAGGCTCATCCTGAGGCCCAGGGCAGGTTCCCATTCAGGTGACTGAGGAGTTGAGCTTAAAACACCACCACCACACCCAGTCTGAGCCCACCCACTGCTGCCCGGGCCGTGGAAGGTCTGGAATGGGCGCTGGGGGTAGGCTGTGGATGGACAGGGCCAGGGGGATCTGATGGTTTCATGGCCATGGGGGCAAGGGACCTCCCAAACGTAGGAAGCTCTGACACCGCCAGGCCGGCTCTGAGGAGAGCCAGAACTTGGAACCAGCAGGGTGGGTGCAGCCAGAAAGGTGGTCGGTGGATAGCAATTAAACATTTGCCGTGTGCTGGGCCCCACGCAAGGGACTGGGCAGCCTGCCTGTCTGTGCTGCCCGCCTTTTGGGGAGGCCACTGTGTGGAGCCAGGGGTGACTGAGTTGGCTCCTAATCTGGGTAACTGGGTAATTCGCAGCTGCTGGATGTGGCCACCACAGGCCTGGAGGCTGATCTGTCGGACTCTGAGGGCCTCCCCAGGGCTCCAGGGGCCCCAGGTGGGATAGCCTCCAAGACGGGGCCAGCCCAGATCCTCTGGGCTTGAACTGTGGCTGACCTGGGGCCTGGGGGCCTAGAGGAAAAAGGGTCTGGGGCAGGCCTTGGGGGCCTCCTGCCTGCAGGCATGGCAGACAGGTAACGCAGGTGTGTCCTTCCACCACCACCCCCAGCGCCCTGTGTCAGGGGAGCAGCTGGGGGCCAAGCCTGAGGCTGCAGGCAGGGGTGGGAGCAACCTGGCCCAAGCTCTGCCCCAGTGGTGGGGGCCGAATGGATCCCACCAGCCTCCTTGTGTGTGACCAGTGACCGCCTGGTCCTGCACCCCGGAGAACCCCTAGGGCCCTGGCAAATCTGATGTTTGGTCACCATGGTCCCTTTTCCTTCCCCTTCCCTTCCCAGGGTGACTCTTCCCTTCTTACAGGGGAAGAGCTGGAGGCCCAGAAAAGTTAAGTGACTGGCCCAGGAGCTGAGCTTCAGCCTGAGCAGGTCACGAGTGGAGTCTGGGCCCCGCGGGCATCTGGCTGGGACCTGAAGCCTGGTCCCGCTTCCCTGCCTGAGCTCCGGCTCCTTTCCTGCGAAGCGGAGCGGGGACTGGCTGGCTGCCTCCCGGGTGGGCTGCAGGGTGTTGGGGGACCCGCTGGCCTTGACCCTCTCCTGTGCCCTCTGCCCCCACAGTTGCTGGTTGAGAAGACAACTGACTCACCGGCGGCGGAGTTCTCGCTGGTGGAGGACGTGGCGCTGCACTTCGCCTGCTTGATGGGCCGCCTGAACGAGCAGCGCCTCTTCCAGCCCGACCTCTGCGACGTGGACCTGGTGCTGGTGCCCCAGCACAGCGTCTTCCCGGCACACAAGGGCGTGCTCGCCGCCTACAGCCAGTTCTTCCACTCGCTCTTCACCCAGAACAAGCAGCTGCAGCGTGTGGAGCTGTCCCTGGAGGCGCTGGCGCCTGGTGGCCTGCAGCAGATCCTCAACTTCATCTACACGTCCAAGCTGCTGGTCAACGCAGCCAACGTCCACGAGGTGCTCAGCGCCGCCTCGCTGCTGCAGATGGCCGACATCGCCGCGTCCTGCCAGGAACTGCTGGACGCCCGCTCCCTAGGCCCACCGGGTCCTGGCACTGTGGCCCTGGCCCAGCCGGCTGCCAGCTGCACCCCAGCTGCGCCACCCTACTACTGTGACATCAAGCAGGAGGCGGACACGCCGGGCCTGCCCAAGATCTATGCCCGCGAGGGCCCTGACCCCTACTCGGTGCGCGTTGAGGACGGGGCAGGGAACGCTGGTGGCACAGTGCCTGCCACCATTGGGCCAGCCCAGCCCTTCTTCAAGGAGGAGAAGGAGGGTGGCGTGCAGGAGGCTGGCGGGCCCCCGGCCAGCTTGTGCAAGCTGGAAGGTGGGGAGGAGCTGGAGGAAGAGCTTGGGGGTTCTGGCACCTACAGCCGCCAGGAGCAGTCCCAGATCATTGTGGAGGTGAACCTCAACAACCAGACACTGCACGTGTCCACGGGGCCCGAGGGGAAGCCAGGCCCTGCGACCAGCCCGGCCACCATGGTGCTGGGCCGGGAGGATGGGCTTCAGAGACACTCGGAGGAGGAGGAGGAAGAGGACGAGGAAGAAGAGGGTGGTGGCAGTGGAGGAGAGGAGGAGGAGGAGGAAGAGGGTGGCAGTCAGGGAGAAGAGGAAGAGGAGGAGGAGGAAGGGCACAGTGAGCAGGAGGAGGAGGAAGAAGAGGAGGAGGAGGAGGAGGAGGAAGGGCCCAGTGAGCAAGATCAAGAGAGCTCTGAGGAGGAGGAAGGGGAGGAGGGGGAAGCCGGGGGCATGCAGGGGCCACCAGGGCGCCGGGGCAGCCGGGCTGACCCCCCTCCCCACAGTCGCATGGCCACGCGGTCCCGGGAGAATGCCCGGCGCCAGGGCAACTCTGAGCCTGAGGAGGCTGGGCAGCGGAGTGGGAAGCGACCCAAGCTGTCCCCCAGAGTGGCCTCTGCACCAGCCCGAGGGCCTCCAGCCTCTGACGGGCTGGGGGCCAAGGTGAAGCTGGAGGAGAAGCAGCACCACCCATGCCAGAAGTGCCCACGAGTTTTCAACAACCGCTGGTACCTGGAGAAGCACATGAATGTGACCCACAGCCGCATGCAGATCTGCGACCAGTGCGGCAAGCGCTTCCTGCTAGAGAGTGAGCTGCTGCTGCACCGGCAGACGGACTGCGAGCGCAACATCCAGGTGGGCCTTTGGGGGTGCAGGGCCGGGCCCGAGCTGGGCTCCGCTCACCCAGTGTCTTGTGACCACGTTGCCCAGATGGTCTGGGGAGACCAGACCTAGCCCCCAGTCTGGCCAGCCCAGTCCCGGGCTGTCATCAGGGTGGGGAGAGCTCAGGGGATAACATCAAGGAGAACTTCCTGGAAGAGGTGGATAGAGCTGGGCTTTGGCACGTGGAGAGATGTGCAAAGAGGACTGGAACAAATGGTGCCCTTGGCCAAGGGAACAAAGAGGTCTTGGGGAGGATGACAGCGTTGAGTTGTCTGAGCAGATGAGGCCAGGGGACAGCCAGCTCTGGGGAGGGGTGAGTCGGACAGTGTTTTAACAAATCCCTCTGGCTGCAGGAAGGCCAGCAGGGCCACCATGTATAGTTTCACAGGTTGTGCACTGCAACAAAAGTACACATGAAGGGGGAAGGGGTTTGCCCAGAGAGGGTGCCATTTTCCACTTCCCACAAAGGCTCTGTATAGAGTAGGGGGCAGCTCAGCAGGAGGTAGCCCCTGCATTCAGCTCTTTGGAGATGCCAGCTGGCCTGGCCCTGGGAAAAAGGGACTGGATGGGAACTTTGGGAAGAGCAGGGGCTGTTGGGGCTGAGCAGGGAAGCTGGGCCGGCTGCCAGGCCTCGGGCCAGCCTGAGTCCGTTTGTGCCAGCCTAGCTTTTCAGAGTAGGGGCGGCACGAAGCCAGACAGGCTCCCGCAGGTGGTTTGTACCTTTTCTGGCCCAGGAGAAAGGGGGAAAGGTGCAGAGTAGGTGGGTGCTAATTGTCTAAGCTAATTGCTAATTGCATCACCACGTGGAGAAAGTGTTACCTGGGAGTTACCTGGTAACCTGCTCCACCCTCGAGTACTTGTTCCCACTTGCCTGCCTGCCCGGCTGCCCTTTGACTCGCCACCTACCGCATACCTGAGCCTCCCTCCTGGGAGGGAGAGAAGCTTGTGCCCCATCCGACATGGGCACTCTGACCCAATTTCTGCCCAGACCCTGGCCTAGACTCCAGCCCTCTGGGTGTGTCCTGCAATGGTGGGCAGGACAAGGGTCCAAGGCCCCAAGGCCCCCACCGCCCTCTGTTGCCTTAAGGGATCTGCTGACTGCTGCAGTTCTCAGCCAACCCTTTTTGGCCCATCCCCTTAGGGACCTCCATGGTGTCATGGCACGGGTCCCCGCAGGGGAGGCGGCAGTGATAATCTGCTGATCATCTGGGGGGCTTCTCCAGGAACTGTATGTGTAGCGTCCACACCTGATGTGGCCCTTCAGCCATAACCCTCTATAAAGAGGGCTTGGAAAGGCCTGTTGAAATGGGCACAGAGGGGGGACTTCTGGAAGAGGTGACCCCCAACTCTAGTTAAGCCCAAGGATGAAGGAGGGCCCCAGGCCTCAGCCCTGGGTATGTGGGTAGATAAGTATTTAGGGAGTTACCACCCCCAATTCTGCAACATCAGTTCTAGCTGGTCCTTGGACATCAAGGTGACAGGGGCTGGCAGAGTTGGGGCATTATCACTGCTGCCTGCCCCTGCTGCTTCAGGCCACAGAGGGTGGTGGGGACCTTGGGGACGATACTCCCTTCCTGCTCTCCTGCAACTGAGGCCAGAGAGGGCAGCAGCTTGTCTAAGGTCACAAGATCCTGGCTCAGGGCCCGGGGCTTAAAGTCTTCTCATCCTACAGTGTGTGACGTGTGGCAAAGCTTTCAAGAAGCTCTGGTCCCTCCATGAGCACAATAAGATTGTGCATGGTTACGCAGAGAAGAAGTTCTCATGTGAGATCTGTGAGAAGAAGTTCTATACCATGGCCCATGTGCGAAAGCACATGGTTGGTAAGTCTGGGTCAATGGGGGCGGTGAAGCCTGAGGACAGAGATGGGCTAGCTGCTGGTTGTACTGGGGAGGACTTGCTATCCAGGTGGATAGAAAAGACTTCACATCCCAGGGCAATGGAAGGGGTGAGAAGGCGCCCCTCTGGAGGCTGTTTGCAGTGGCAGGTGTGACCTGGCCAGGCTCTGGGCCAGGGCTGCCTTGTACAGTTGGGTAGGCTGCATACTGAACAGGGGTGCCTGAGCAAGATGGCAGGTGGGAACTGGAATTGAGCTGGCACACTGCTAACCAGGCTGTGCATCCTGGCATGAGCTTGTGCCCACCCAGGGAAAAGAGTACCTTTTCCTAAATTATACAAAGTGCCATATGGGCTGGCACAGGCCCTGTCTCAGTTTGATGGCAGGTGTACCTCTGATTCTTTCTCACCTTTTGGCCCTCACAGGGCTTCAGGCTTCTCTGAATGCAACTTCCCCCCAGGGGTCACGCCTGGACACAGTAAGGAGGCCCCCCCAAGTGTGTGTTGGCCACCCCACTGCCTTGGGAAAGACTGCCCACCCCCTCTAGGTGGGCCTGGCAGGGAGTCTTGTGTCCCTAGGGCTGTCTCTTCCTTGCCCACTCTGGGTCTGGGGCTCGAGGAAGGAGTGGTCAAGGTGGACACTGGGCCCCTGGCCAGGCCCTACTCCCTTTCTCCGTGGGACAGTGCCGGGCGCCCTCTAGTGTGAACTGACAGGGAACTAGGACACTGCGTCTAGGACTTGGCCAGGAGCATGCTGGGTAACCCAGGACTAGTCTGTGAGCTCAGAGGGGGACCCTCCCTGTCTCCAATTGCCTCCTCCCAGATATTCCTTGAAGGGTTTGTTGGTTCTCACCTATCCATGGGTTCTGGGGGGAGCACTGCTAAAGCCCCAGCCCACTGCTAAAGCCCCAGCCCACTGCTAAAGCCCCAGCTTTATGCATGCCATCCCTACCACGCCCCCCACCCTTGGAGCTCAGCACCGTTATTAGTCCATTTTTATAGAAGAGGGAGCAAAGCACAGAGAGACCAAGCGGGAAGCGAGTGGTTGGGGCAGGATTTGAGCTGAGGTCCGCCCACCCAGGATCCTTCCATCTTCCCTGAAGCTCTGGGAACTGGGCAGCCTTGGCTGTTTCCCTTGGCCACAGGCTAACGAACCACAAGCGCTTGTCTGAGCCAGACCTTCGGTGCAGACAGGGAGACCCAGCCCTGGAGGGAAGGGGGCTGGCCCCTCCTGGGAATCAGCCCAGGTCCTGCGACAGAGTACAAGGTGGTCCCCAGGGAGGGCTGTGGCTCAGGGCTGCTCCAGGAGGTGGGGTCTGGGCCCAATGTAGGGGTGCTCAGGCAGGGCTCCAAGACATGACGGCCATGGTGCCCAACCCGTAGCCCACACCAAGGACATGCCCTTCACCTGTGAAACCTGCGGGAAGTCCTTCAAGCGCAGCATGTCCCTCAAGGTGCACTCACTGCAGCACTCCGGGGAGAAGCCGTTCAGATGTGAGGTGAGCACCCTTCTCCTCTTTGGCCTGTCTGAGAGGCCACCTGGGAGGGGCAGGGATGAGGGACAGCAGCTGCATCCCTTCCAGAGGGGTGGGGAAGCGGAGTGCAAGGTCCAGAAAGAGAGAGGCCCACCCTATGCCTCCCACTGCCACCCCTAACCCGGCCCCTACACATTCAGGGTGAGGAGTCTGCGTGGGCGGGAGCCACGTGGCAGGTGTTCTGGAGAGGTGGATTGGGGGGCACCTCGGGAGATCAGAGATGGAGACAGCAGAGCTGCAGGTGGCAATGGGGGGCTTCCGATGAGAAAGAATGGCGAGAGGCCCTCAGGCCTCCACTGTGTAGCCTCTCCCGATCTCCTGACCCCACTCCCCGCCTGGGCCCTCTGTGCGCTCCTGGCCTGGCCTGGCCTCTCGTGCCTCACCCCGCACCCCACCCCCAGAACTGCAACGAGCGCTTCCAGTACAAGTACCAGCTGCGGTCACACATGAGCATCCACATTGGCCACAAGCAGTTCATGTGCCAGTGGTGCGGCAAGGACTTCAACATGAAGCAGTACTTCGACGAGCACATGAAGACCCACACAGGTGCGGCGGCCTGGGCTCCATGCCAGGCCGGGGACCCCTTCCCAGCCATGCGCAGGAGGCCTGGGCTGGTCTCGGCCACACCCCTTCCCAACTCCGGGCCTTAGTTTACACTTTTGTCTGAGGCTTGGTACCATCCCTCCTGCCTCTGAGGGTTGGGTGAAGCTGGCGGGAGGTGGGGGCGTCTGAGAGTGCCCGGGCTGGACCCTACTGTGGTTCCGTGGGGTAGGGAAGCTGGCCCCGGGCTGGGGTGTGGTGACCCTCCGGTGACGCCCTGCTCCGCCTCCGCCCAGGGGAGAAGCCGTACATCTGCGAGATCTGCGGCAAGAGCTTCACCAGCCGGCCCAACATGAAGCGGCACCGGCGCACGCACACCGGCGAGAAGCCGTACCCGTGCGACGTGTGCGGCCAGCGCTTCCGCTTCTCCAACATGCTCAAGGCCCACAAGGAGAAGTGCTTCCGCGTCAGCCACCCGCTGGCCAGCGACGGCCCGCCCCCCGCCCCAGGCCTGCCCCCCGCCCAGCCTCAGGCGCACACGCTGCCCCTGCTCCCGGGGCTGCCCCAGACCCTGCCGCCCCCGCCGCACCTGCCGCCCCCGCCGCCCCTCTTCCCCACCACTGCCAGCACTGGCGGGAGGATGAACGCCACCAACTAGCTGCCGAGCTACACCTGCTGGGACCTGGAGCCCAGGGCCCGCTCCAGGAGAGACCCCACTGCCCTCCCCCCTGGCTGGGGAGGGCAGCAGCACGCGCCTGGGCCACTGCCCCCACCTCCAGAGGTGGCTGGACGTGGCCTCCTGAGACCCCGACACGGGGTGGGAGTGCGGGCTGGCAGCCCCCAGAGCCGGTGGAAGACACCTCACTCCCAAGTGCCCCCCTCTTTCTGCAACTTCTTGAAGCCTTTACTTTTTGGGTTTTTTTGGAAGTGAAGGAGAAAGAAAAGAGAGGAAACTATTTGCAGCACCCCCTCCAGGTGAGGAGGGTGCTGGAGGCGGCAGGTACAGCGGGGATGGAGGGCCCCAGGGGCAGGAGTCGTGGCCAGTGCTGCTGAGGCCTGAGCCGGAGAGGGTTGGCCAGGCCCTTCCTGGATAGGCCTCAGCGGTTTGTCCCCACGTGCTCATGCCCCTAATTGGCTCCCTCATCTTGGAGGGTTTGGGGAGAAGTGGGGTGCCGCCCCCTAGAAGAGTTGTGGACCCAGTCTGAGGGCTGTGGACGCCCAGCCAGGGCGCGAGGCTGGACGCCGGCGGGCGCGGGTGGGGAGTGTTGAGGAGCCGGGACTGCAGACCTGCCTCTGCGCTGCCGAGTAGTGTGGGGAAGGCAGGGGCTGGACCCCAGGGGCTTGCTTTCCCCACTCACATCCCCGCCGGCAGGTCCGGGGGTCCCCAACCTGCACCGGGCTGCACCGTGGGTCTCGAGTCCTAGAGATGTCCCCGGAGGCTGCTAGGCCTTGGTGCTGTGGGCCAGGCCCTAGGTGGGCAGACGGGATGCCTCCTTCAGCACCAGCTCCCAGGGGCTGGAGTCAAGGAACCCCTGCAAGCAGGTCAGACCCCAGGGGCAGGGTCCGAGGAGGAGGCTTGGACAAGGGTTTGGGGGATTCAAGGTGCTACCAGTGGGGCAGGGGGCAGGGCTGCCGCTCACAGAGCACCTCCGCCCCTCACCAGCCACGCTGGCCACGTATTTCACACCAGAAGGAGACGTGTGTGTCTGTGTCCCCCTCTGCTCCCCTCGGCCCGCACTAGGCCCAGCCACAGCCTGTGCCTGGCTGGCTCCAGCGTCCTGGCTCCTCCTGGGCCTCTGCACAGGTGGGCGGGCGCTCACAGCACTGCTGGTGAGGGGAGCCCCTGGGGACAGGGGAGCCCAGCCTGTGCCCGGTCCTTGCCCTCATGAGGCCGGCACTAATAGGAGACCCTTTTATTTGTTGTCATTTAACGTCTTCATTCCTGCCTTTAAGACGGGGCGGAAGGTTCCATAAGCTACATGTTTCCTAGTTAAGCTCTCTCCTCTTGTGTTTATACAGTTTTGTTTGTTATACTCTTTGCACCTTAAACTCCCACTACTCCCCCACGCTACCACCTTCCCAGCATGGCCGGGGTGGGAAGAGGCCTGGGCCCAAGGGGCATGGTTAGGGGCACTGAACCCTTCTGACCTCCTTCTGAGGCCCACGGCGCTGGGGCAGGGGGCTGGGGACATTTTAATCATCAATAAATGAAGCACTTTATTCTGTACAGATGTGAGCAGGCCCAAGGTGCCCGAGTGATGTGAGGTTTTATGATCCAAGCCGCACCACCCTGGTCGTTCTCTGGGCTTGGAGGGGACAGTGCCAGCAGCTTCCCTGGCCCGGTTGGGTCTGGGGCTGCAGCTGGAGCAGTTCAGCCAGCGCCCACAGACATGCCCTTGGGCACCCCTGCTTCTCCCCAGCAGGAACGTGTGGCGCCAGGCTCTGCAGTTCCCCTACCCCCAGGGCAGGGTTTCCAGGCTCCTGCTTCACTGTAGCTCTTTTCCTTCCCCGCACCCCTGATCTCTGGGCTTCCATGATGTCCTCAGGGTCCCTCCTCTTTCCCCCTTGCTATTTCTAACCTCTGGTCCCAGTGCCTGGCAGCTCTTCAGAGCTGGCTCACATTTTCCCAAAAAAGTTGATCTCGCCCAGTGGGCTGCAGACAGGGACCTCCATGGGTTCTCCAGCCCTCGTCACTAGCACCAGGGTCTCCCATAGAGCCTGGTGGCCTTGCTTCATGCTGGCCCCACTGCAACCTGAGTGGGCCTGGGGCCCTGGCCAGGCTGGGACCCTGGTCTTGCAGGCCATGGTTTGGCAAGCAGAGGTCAAAGACAGGTGTGGGGAGCTGGTATGAAACCCTGGCCCAGGACTTGGGTTTCCTGTTCTCACACACCTCCCCTCAGGGCAGGCGAGGGGTGTGGACAGCTGGCTGGGAACTGGTCAAGATGGACATTGTAGCTGTAGGTGGGCACGGCCAACCTCTCTCTTGGGAGGCCCTGTCCCTCTGAGGACAGGAGCCTGTGTCCCTGGTGCTAAACACTCTCTTCCCCTTGGGCCAGTGTTGGTGGGAGCACCTTTCCAGCCAGCCCACGAGGCCAGAAGCAATAATGGCACCTTAGCGGTGCCAGTACGGACAGGGGTTCTTGTTTTACCAGCTTTTACATCTCCTTTTTATTTGAAAAACAAATTGATGAGCACCCAGATGTTGGAGTGAGAGGATGGGGGGCCCCAGGCTCAGGATCATCACCTCCTGGGAGACCTGTTGAAGTCCCTGTGTCCAGCTGAGCTGCTCAGTCTGCTTGGCCAGCACTCAGTCCTGGAGCCTGGGCCTGCCCCTCCGCAGCTCCCTGCTGTCTGGTCTTGGCCGGCTGGGATGAGTGGCCAGAGTGATGAGGTGGCCCCCCAGCCCTGGATCATGCTGCCATGGCCTCCACGGTGCCCCTCACCAGGGGCTCGATGGTGGCAGAATGGCTGCACCCAGACTGTGATGTCTAGTCATGTATGGGCACCCCACAGCCCCAGAGCTTGTGGGGCACAGCAGGCATGTGGGTGAGAAGAGTGAAGGGAAATAAAGTCAGTACAACTCCTGTCCCTTGGCCCAGCCTCTTCTTTGCACTTGGCCTGCCCTGCAAAGACTTGGACCAGAGCGAGGCTGGTGCATAACTCGACAGCTCAGCATGCAGACCCCATGGACGTCTGTGCCCTGGATCACCCGTGGGTGCCATCTCCCTCCCCTAAGGGTAGGCTGGGCTTTGGGGACACCCAGAGTCAGGAGCTGAGGCAAGGGCAGCGAAGGGTCCTGAATTGGAGCTGGGTCTTGGGTCAGACACAGAGGAGCCTGAAAGGGCAGGGGTCCTGGGGCTGCTTCGGGCAAGGCCCTAATGGCAGTGCCCACAGGAGGTCAGGGCCTGTGCAGGGGCGGCTTCCATGAGCACCAGCATGGAGGCACGGCAGGCGCTCCTGTTCACGTGCTGAGCACGGGGGATGCTGTGATGTGCAAAATGGCCACGGTGTCTGAGAGGCCAGACACCAGAGATGCCGACAGGCACCTGGGAAGACCAAAGATCAGGTGAAGGTGGTGGCCTCCAAAGGAGGGAGCAGGTGGCTCTCCCGGGGACCTCAGAATTATTTCATTGCACAGGCAATACACAGAACACTGGTTTTGTGCTGGATGGAATCCTAGGCCCTGAGGCCACATGGTGATTGCGGCCCATACTCTGGTGGCACTTACCTCTGAATACTCAGAGAGGGGTCCGACAGGACCTCCCAGGACTGGGGAGGGCCTGGGCAGGCTCGATGACTGGCCAGAGAGGAGGTGCGGGTTCCTAGGACGTTGGCATTGCCTTTCTGCATAGTCCCACTTTGACTGAAGGAAATGGGCTCACTGGAGGCACCCTAAAAACAAGCCTCTCTGGCAGCCCTGGGGGCCCGCCTGCTCCTGCACCTCTTGTGTGGGTTCTGCTTCTCTCTGTTTCTGCTGTCTTCCCCTCTCGCTCCCCATCAGGTGTTATGATGCCTCTTTTTCCCTTAGCCCCCCGCCCTGCACCCCGCATTCCACACTCTAGTCTTGGGCACTCTCTTGCTGCGGCTAGCAGGTGCCCTGGTGGCATGTCAGGAGCACCTTGTAGGGGACAGTGAGATGAAGTGAGGCATCTCTGGCTTGATGGTCCCCTCGGGCTTCCCCCTGATTATGTGGCTTTATGGAGTCAGGACTGGCGAGTAAGTCAGGTTCGGCTGGGCTCTGCTGCGGTAACAAGCCACCTCTTGACCTCGGTGGCTTAACATGCATGTCTCTGGGTGAAGCTCTAGGGCAGTCATTCTCCATGTGGTGGCTCAGAATTCCAGGCTGCTTTGGCTCGGTGGCACCTCCTTAGCAACACGGGCCTCCAGAGTGACCAGAGCCAGGGGAGACACGGAGTGGAGAATGACGCCTTGGCTCTTTGGTGTGCTGCCATCCAGAAGTGACTTATCGCTTCTGTTTGTATTTCATTATCCAAAGCAAGTTCCATGTCCATGCCCACCTTCAAGGGGGTGTGGAGATGTGGCCCTACTGTGTGGCTGGAAAGAGTGGCGAGCGGCAATATCCCTTCCTACGCTTGGGCCCCTGAGTCTCAGTGGGCCAGGCTGCGAGACGTCCAGCCTGTGGAGCTGGTTTCTAAGTCTCTGGAGGGTCCGTGATCAAAAAGGACAGTGTCCCCCAAGGTTCTGCCTGGCTGGAGGTGGCAGGAACCTTCTCCGTCTCCACAGATGACACCACTGGGACCCACGGAGAGTGCGGAAGATGACAGGCTCCATCCTCCTCTTCCGCCTCCAGGGAAGGAAGAGCAGCTCAGCAGTCCCCCGACTCCCTTGAACTTCTTTTCTCCTCTCCCCTGCCTCACCCACCATGCTGGAAAGAGGGGCTCTGGAAAACCCTGTGGCCAAACCTGTCCCCATGCATCCCGGGAGGCTGGGCCTACGACCACAGCTCCCATATACTGTGGACTCTTGGCAGTCACCGCTCACCCACAACCTTCCACGGTGGCTGAGGACCTCAGGCAATGAGACTCAGAGAGGCAAAGCCACTTACCCGCAGCCAGAACGTGGTGGAGCCAGGATTCAAACCCAGGTCTATCTGATCCCAGAGCCATGTTCTCTAAGCGCTGGTGGAGGCCACTTCCCCTCCGCTCAGCACAGAGCTGGGCACACAGTGGCGTTCCGGGGAGCATGGCAGTGGGTGGTGAGCCAGGGCTATTGGCTGCAAATGACAGAGCCCCTGTAGCCGACTTACGCAGAAACAATTCAATGAAAAGGTGTTAATTAAATCTCCAAGAGAACCAGAGACTCAAGCTATGGGATGACACAGCTGGGAACAAACCCAAACCACCACCCTGCACCACTTGCCTCAGGGGAGGTGTGCCTGCCACCCCAGCGGGGAACTAATGACGCTAAGGGCTGCACATAAGAAGCTCTTGTTGGCCGGGTGCAGTGGCTCAGGCCTGTAATCCTAGCACTCTGACAGGCCGAGGTGGGCGGATCGCTCAAGGTCAGGAGTTCAAAACCAGCCTGAGCAAGAGCGAAACCCCGTCTCTACTATAAATAGAAGGAAATTAATTGGCCAATTAATATATATAGAAAAAATTAGTGGGGCGTGGTGGTGCATACCTGTAGTCCCTCCTAGGGAGGCTGAGGCAGAGGGATTGCTTGAGTCTGGGAGTTTGAGGTTGTTGTGAGCTAGGCTGACGCCACAGCACTCACTCTAGCCTGGGCAACAAAGCAAGACTCTGTCTCAAAAAAAAAAAAAAGAAGCTCTTGTTTCTGCTGCTTCCCAAAACTAAACACCCTCTGCCACGCTCAGAGATCACTGGAGTCTGCATCGTGCCTGCTTCCTTTCATCTGAATCAGTCTGGCATGGGTGTGTCTAATTGGCAGATGCCAGTTATATGTTTATGCAAGAGCTGCAAGGCAGGCTGGGAAAGTGAGTTACGTTTCCTACTGTGGGCAGGTAGGACTCACCAGGCACTTCATTCCCAGTCAGAAAAAGGCTGTCCAGATGTGCTAGGTGGTCACATAGCACACACGACCCATACTCTAGCCCTTCACAGCCCGACAGCGGCATCTGCCCTCTTCCACACAGCGGAGACGACAAGATGCTCGTGATTAGCAACCTTCCTCATCAAAATAACATTACATTCATCCTCTTCCCAGAAGGGGACACCGGGATTTCCCATCACTCCCAATCCAGAATCTGCTGGTGACAGTTGCCCCTCTTCTAGTCATTCAGCTATGATCCCGTTTTGGTGTTGAGAAACGTATGGACTCTATTGTCAAACTAACCGTCACCAACCAGACCCTTTAAAAAGGAGGATAACTGAAATGGGAGGGGAAAATAAAATCAAAATACATGCATGCATCTTACCTGGCGTGATGATTAATTTTAGGTGTCAACTTGACTGAGCTAAGGGATACCCAGAATATCGAGTGATGCATTATTTCTGAGTGTGTCTGTGAGGGTGTTTTGGGAAGAGATTAGCATTTGAATGAAAAGACTGAGTAAAGATTGTAAACTAGGGATCAACAGAAAAAAAAATTTAAACATTTAAAAATGAAAAAAAAATGGACTGAGTAAAGAAGATCCACCCCCACCCAATAGGAGTGGACACCATCCAATCTATTGAGAGCCCCGATAGAACAAAAAGTCAAAGGAAGGGTGACTCATTGTCTTCTGGAGCTGGGACATCTATCTTCTCTTGCCTTCAGACATCACAGCTCCAGGTTCTCTGCCCTTTGGCCTGGGACTGGGAGTTACACGATCAGTTCCTCTGGTTCTCCCACCGTCAGACTCAGATGGAAACACATCACCAGCTTTCCTGGGTCTCCAACTTGCAGACTGCAGATTGTGGGACTTCTTGCCCTCTATAATCATCTGAGCCAATTCTTACAATAAATGCCCTCTTGTACCTCTCTCTATATCCTATCTGCTCTGTTTTCTCTGAAGAGTCCACACGAACACTCTTAGCAAGGAAGAAAAGGCAGGAAGATGCTCCATCCTTACTCAGCCATTGGGCTGAGGTCAAGATGGCGCTGACGGCTTCTTCCCACTCTCCCCTACTCACGCTCCCTGCCCTTCACCAGCACCTGGATGGCCACAGAAACTCACCTGGAAGAGCACCTCAAATCTGCTTTCTTGAGGTGCAGGAAGGATGGGCACTGCTGGTTCCACTTGAGGTTGCTCTAGTGGCTTATCTTTTTTGTGCTTTTTCAAATTTTTATTGAAGTGAAATTCACATAAAATTAACCATTCGAAAGTGAACAATTCAGTGAAATTTAGTGCATCCACAACAGTAACGTACCAACACGGCTACACCAACAGCTTCTCTCAGTTCCAAAACTATTTTCATCCGCTCCACAAAGGAAACTGACTCACATTAACATTGCTCACAATTAGGT